AGAAACCAAAAGACATTTCAATAAGTGAAAAGCCCTAATATTTGTAAAGATAAGAATGGGTAGGAAACCTGTAATAAAGATGCCAAATCAATGAATTTCCTGAATTAATTTGTAGATTTCATACATTTTCAATTCAGATATCTAAAGGATATATTAGAGAGCTTACCTGCATCCTGTGGGAAATAGAGGAAAGGTAGCCCACCAAAAAAAAGTCTACTGTACATCAATAATAATTAAACAGCATAGTAGTGATTCAAAATAAAAGAAATTAATCCTTTTAGAGAAAGAGGAAGAGCCCAGACCAAAAATCTGAATGAAATTTACAATTAAATGGGAAAGGAATTTATATACTCCACTTGGATTTAGGATTTAGAAAAGTCAATTCTAAAAACAGCAAAGTAGGACTACCATCTTAGAAGCAAGGTAATGCTTTCATTATTGGGTAATGAGTGAACACATGAAATATAAGGTGGACAGATAAAAGTATTTAAACACTTAGATTTTTATGAACTTGAAAGAGAACATTTAGATAAACAGGGGAATGTGGGGGAGGATTTGTAGTAAATGTGATGGGTAAAACCAGGCCATCCCAAGTGCATGGAAGGGCTTAACCAGTAAAAAACACCAAATCCCTGATTAAAAAAAAGAAAACCAGTCAAGGCATATGGACGCACAATCCACAAAAGCAGAATCACTAAATAAGTATTTGAAAAATGTTCCATCACACATGTAAATTCAAAATGATAATGAGCTAGCAGCTCACACCTCGGGAAGATGAGAAATGGCCCCACACTCTGGGAAGCATTGAGGAGTCGTCACAGCTGGCATCATCGTAAAGATAAAATGATCTGTCTCCGTGTGCAGTACGACCGTATGCAGGTAGAGCCAAGAGGGGGACCCACCCTTGACCAGAAATCTGTTTACTGGAGATGGGCAGATAACCAAACTCTGCCCATCAGACCAAATGTCAGAACACAAGCATCTCCTCCATAGGCCTGTGAGGGAGAAGATTAAGTCAAGGAGAGCAACGAGTCCATGACCCAGATTCTGCTCTCCTGCAACAGTTAAGTTCAAAAAATGGGCAGAGTCACAGTTCAAGTGTGTCTTGGTGTGTGCAGCCCTTTTGTTTCTTGGGGGTGACCTGTGACCCTTCATGCATGAGAACTCTTTAGTGATCTATGTGAGATAGTAAGATCATCGCTTATCGGCCTAGCCAGCCCCATTCCCTTTATCAGGTGGAGTACGGAAAGGTGTGGGCGCCCGCCAAGTAATGCATAGGATAGAGGCCATCCCCCTCCATGGTGGGCAGGGGACAAACCCAATTGGAAAAGCTGGCTGTGGGTCCAGCAGTGAAGCAGGGGAAGGCAAGTGGAGTTTCCTCAAAAGGGCTCATTTATCAAAACATCACAAGTAGGCAATGGGTCCTTGAATGGATGAAGTTTTAAATGCAAACAGGCTTTAAAAGGTGAAATTACAAACAAATGATGGGAGAGTCTGGGTTGCTGCGTCCCACAGCTGGCAACAGGCCAGCCTTCTCCTCTCCTCTGGATTCCAGCCCCAGGTTGGTGGTGACAGCCGCCGTCTTCCCACGGGCACACGGAGGTGTGCGTGTCCCAAGTGTCTGTGCGCAGGATAAGGCAGAGTCAGAGCTTGATTATCAGGCCCCACTGTGGGAGCAAAATAGTCCATGGAAACGTATTTTGCAAGAAAGTACAAGTTTATATTTTTAATCTATTATGCTCCATATGCCCTTGGTTTTTAAACAGAGACTAATAAGCCAAATTTTTTACAAAGAGCCCTGTTTACAGTTGTGAAGCAGGAGCTTAATCAACCTTGATAAAGTGGTTGAAGTTACTGGTATTTGAACATGGACAGAGTTTGTGTGTGTGTGTACAGGCATAAACAAAGTGACATAATTGGTTTTAAAATAAAACAGAAAAGTGCTATTAAGATGAAAGATGCAAAGTTAATTTAATATAGTAAATTGACTTAAATGATCTCAAAAGTACGGAAATTTTGTCTCTGGCCAGCAACAGTAGCTGTATCTCAAATAAGGCATGATCCCGGCACTTTTCTTTGCTCATTACTGAGAGGCAGACTCAAGACCATTATCTTGCAGCATTGATGTACAGGCTGTAAAAGGTTTAAGCCAAATCATTTATGTCAAAAGTGCAGTGTAACCTTTTCTTTTTCTTTTTCCCCTTTCCTGGTTGCCAGTTAAGTCAGCTTGCCAAGATCTGATAAGCATAGCGCTCGGTATCAGCACCTTGAATTTTCTCCATGTAGCTACAAAGCCCTAGCATCTCTGTCATTTGTAACGATAGCAGAGCCCCGTTGGAAGAGCTCTGTTTATGGGCACGGGCTCGGTTGGGCAGGGCCTCGTGCTTGGATGGCCTGCGTGGCCTGTATCCAGCACACATACCCTTCTCCTAGTCCACGCCCTCGGCAGACATGACTAATCCATCAGAGCCCTCCTCCCCGCTGATGCAGGCTTGGCCCTGCAGCTGGCCTGTACCCAGCGCACATACCCTTCTCCTAATCCACGCCCTCGGCAGACATGACTAATCTATCGGTGCCCTCCTCCCCCGATGCAGGCTCAGCCTTCCTGCTCGCCAAGTCGGCTCTAGATTGGTATGGAATATCTTGTTGGCCTTTCATCCTCTGGCGTGGTGCCAAACGCACCAACCAGAAACTGCATTGAAATAAGGTTTTTCCAAGGTGGCCTAAAGGGGTGGAGGGTTTTCTGTGTGTACCCCATGCCCGATGTCCCCCTCCCCCGGAGTCCGACGTTCCTGCACAGAAAAGAATGGGAAGGAGAAGGACTAACGGCTATCTGTGTAGATTGTGGGGGACCCTCTCTGCCGCAGCCACCATTTTCATGAAGGTCACACCCCTCTGCCTGTCTTCCAGTTTCGTCTGTGCCGCTGGGTTCAATGTCTGTAACTACCAGCTCACTGAATATCCGTCCTCACAGAAATAAGCTGGGGAAGAAGAAAGCATCCACTGCAAACTAAAGTTCTGGCGCTGAGGTTCTCTGTTTTACAGAGCAGTTAAGTGTCTGGACTCAACCAAGCAGCGTTCTGTTGGGATCTCAGCCTCCCAGCTTTTCAGATCCGAAGTGAAGTCCTCTTTGTGGAATGACATTGCTGGCAAAACTCCCCTTCTGGCTTCTTGCCTCCTGACCAGCAGGACCTTGTTTCTCCCAGAGGAATGCTCGAGGGACTGCCAGCAGCAAATTCTTTTTCTATCAAATATGTGGGTATTTCAATCAATTAAGGTAAAAATGGATGGAGCAAGAGAAGACATTTTTATCCGGATAGTCTAGCTGGACCATTAGACTCAAGTGTATTAAGAAAGATGGAAACTCACTGAATTATCACTGAATTGCATAAAATCTGGACGAGTCCATGGAACTCTTTAAAAGAGTGAGGAAACTAAATCCTTTATCTTTTTTGACATTCCTTTTTTGTCAGTAAATTTATTGTAGAAAAAAAATCTACAGTAAATTTACTGTAGAAAAAAAATCCGGATAGATTTTTTAAAGTGTGAAGTGTTATTCAGGATCGTCACAAAACAGAGGGTTATCTTGGATGTCATGGAAACCCCAGACCCTCCCTGCCCCGCCCCTGCAGCTGCTCAGCCCCGGCCAGTGTGCCCCATCACGCCTGCCCCCACGTCTGCCATTCCCATCCTGTCACGTGTAGAAGTAGGCAATTCCCAGATTGTGCTGTTAGTCTTAATTTACAAATTCTTTCCTCATATGCACAAATTCTACAAGTCAGGACCAAACTGGGAACGTGATCATCTCTCAGGAACGCATGGTTCCAGAATGTACCGTCATCTTGTAGGTTTGCGGTGTGGAGGACATCCTTAAAGCCTTATAGACATATTCGATGAAGGGCATCTGTGTCCCTGTCACAGGGGAAATCTGATCTAGGAAAGCGGGCTGTGAGGCTGGAGAACGCCCTGTGGTCCCACAAGGCACTCAGTGCCACTGCCAAGAGGGTCCGAGCCCCTGGTGGGAGCTCCCAGCGCCGTGCCCGTGACGTTGTAGCTCACTTTCCTCCGTGCTCCCTGAAGCCTCCACCGTTCTTCTAATTAACAGGAAGTGCGAGACCCTCCATAAGCCAGACAAGCAGGTAGCCTCATTAGGAGACCAGTTCAGCAGCCAGAGGGAGACGGAGTGGGATAAATTAAGAACAGAGCACCCCTGACCGGGACCCGAGTGCAATTTCTCAGCCATTAATCAAATCATATGAAAAAGACACCGCAGCACTAATCCACCTGCTCTAGCCCTCGGATTCTGACTGTAGATGCACACGTATGCTCGGGCACCCAGGAAAGCGACACCAGGGTTCAGGGGAGGTGGATAATTAGGTATATATTCCCAGTTCTCGCCTCCACGTTGTTCAAACGCAGGACTGGTTTTCGGCATGCCACTGGGCATTCCTGGACCGATGCTCTTGGGTCCGTGTTCAGCCCGCAGAGCTGGGCCAGGCTGGTGCCAGTTTCAAAGAATATTCCATTCTCTTTCCTGCCTAGCTCGGGAAAACCTGAATGTGAAGGTGCGGGTGCCAAGACTAGAAATGGTCCGGTGCCGGGAGAAGGGTGGGTGGTCGTGCTGCCCACTGCTACCACTGCCATTTCTAGTAAGAGTCTGTGACCCGGCTCGCTCACTGCCACTGTTTCACGTTCACGGCGCGGATCGTTTAAGCAAGCCCCAAATGGTCAGGGGTTCTGACAGTTGACCTCGCCTGTGTTCCTCTTCATCGTTCACAAGCATGTGTGTCCATCAGGGATCATGACACATGCACCGTTGAACCACATTGCTCAGCATCACGTGTTGCTGGCTGTCGAGGCTCACACCGCATGCAGCAGGACACGTACGCGCACACACAGGCTCTTCCAAGACCCCATTATCTGAGTCTTGTCTGGGCCCCTGAGGCTTTCAGGTGCATCGAGGTACCACTGTTCATAGGAAATTCTAAATCTTATTTCAGGTCTTGATTCAGATGAAGAACTTGGGCTGCTCTGTCACCACACGTCCTATCTAGGTGATTGTCCGGGGCTGACCACGGGCTCTGGATGTGCTGTAACCTTTTCTTTTGATGTCACGTGTCTGCACGTCTGCATGGTTCTCTGAGCTCGGAGGGTTGGCACGCACAGGGGACGTGGGTCCTGGCTGCTGTGTCTCCGGGATGCTCCTCCCCCCCCGCCACCCAGGTTTGGGGCCCGCTGGCTGAGGGGGACGTCCCCTCGGTCCCGTTAAGCAGCCATGTCATCCTGCGACGCTGTGATTTCGCGCCCGGCCAGCAGCTTTGGCATTTCTTGGGATGTGGAAGGAAGAAAGCAAATTGGCTAGCAAATCCAGGATCTGCTAATTGTCCCTGGGGCTGTGATGTGCGCATGCCATATAGCCCCCGAAGACAGCCAATCCTGATGCTTTCTGATTGCCAGAAGCTTGCCTGAGTTTGTTTTTCTTTGTTTTGTTTAAAACAGGGCAGTCACTGATGGGGGGGTGGGCGGTGTGTTTGAGGTCAGTGACTAGATTCGGTTCCACAAACATGTCCTTGTGGCTAATACTAAACTTTCTTCATGTGTGTGTCCACCCCGCTCCAGACCAGAGAGTGGCATCCTTCTGTACCCTGACCGATATGCAGCACGGGGAGGACCTGGAAGGCGCGCAGGAGCCTCCTTTATGTGTAGACCCAGGCAGCGGCAAAGAGTTCATGGACACGACTGGGTATGTGAGCCCCTGAGGAGCCCCTCACCCCCCTGCCCTGCTCCTCTTCCCAGGCCCCCTGAGTAGCAGGTTCAGCAAAGCCACAGGCCACCAGGAGATCATTTCCAGCCTGCACTCTCCAGGGCCTTCAGGATCCAGATATGGGACTGAGTGCGGCTGCCCCTGCTGGGGTGGGCGGCTCTTGGCAACAGAAGTGCTCTGCTGTGGGCGGTCCCTGCCTGCCAAGACATGTCACCCCATGCCCATGGCGACAAGGCTTTCTGACAGAGGGAGGGAAAGCGGGGGCCTGGCTCTGCGTCTGCCGGTAATTGCTGCCACAGCCCCCAACAGACAAGGACTTTGCTGATCGGTCTCCCGCTGCCAGGCGGCCCGTGCAGGCCTGCCAAGGGCACAGCTCCCCGCCGCAGCCTGGTCCTTGACCCTGGCCTCACCCGAAAGAACCATCTCGTTGCCCTATATTCTTGGCATGTTTATCACTCACGGGGTCTATATTCTTTACCTGATTCCAACTTTTATATGAACTCGTGTGACCCTTAACTGGCCCACTCATCTTGGTAATGACCTTTACGATATTTTCTTGACAGAGAAAAACAAACTGGGGAAGTCGAATCTCTATTTGATTCCCAGGACCTCAATGGTCTACCTAGTTTCAGTTGACTAAACTGATTTAGATAATCTGTCTTCTGTGTTTGTTACCAACATACATACCTGCAGGTTCTGAGTCCCTTTTTAAAAAATATTTTGTTTATTTATTAGAGAGAGAGAGAGAGAGCAAGAGAGGGAACACAAGCAGGGGGAGTAGGAGAGGAGAAGCAGGCTTCCCGCTGAGGAGGGAGCCTGATTCGGGACTCTATCCCAGGACCCTGGATCATGACCCAAACCAAAGGCAGACGCTTAACATCTGAGCCACCCAGGCGCCCCCTGAATCTCTTTTTAAATCAACAGAGTTGCAGAAGGGATTTTCTACCAAAACAGCAATAAGTTCCCTTTCCAAATCTGACATAATATTATTTATTTCCTCACTGGGCTCTAAGCAAATTCTTTGAGTGAAAACTTTACCAACAAAATACAGAGTGTTGCTTCTGTACTTGGATGACCTTGAATCCTTCTGACTCCACCTCTCTTCGCTAGGGAGCGGTCTCCATCCACACTGACAGGGAAGGTCAATCAGCTGGAGCTGATTCTCCGACAGCTGCAGACGGACCTTCGGAAGGTGAGGGACCTGTCGAGAGCCACCATCGGAAGTCTGTCCTGCACAATCACCCCCTTCCAACCAGTAGAAATAAAAATGAAGACGCTCGGGAAAGATTACCACCCTAGTCAAAGCCAAACAGAGACCCCTAAGGTCTAATTCTTGTTTCTAGCCTGTAGCTTATATTTTTTCACTCTAAGGGGACCCAAGAATTGCAGGAAATAGGACTGCACAAGGGTGAGCCCTCTGGGCTGCCAGTCTTCAGAGCAAGGTAGAAACACACAGGCGAGTGTGTTTTGGTTCGATGAGTGATCAGTTGTACCAACAATTCAGGAGCTGACCTTAGAGGCGTTAGTTGCTGCCAGAAAGCCTGTTTTCCCCGAGCTGTTGTATTCCCATGGAGTCAGCTACCTGACCCTCACAACTTCTGCCCTGCGTGTCCAGGTGTGTGCAGCCGGTCCCCACAGAAGTTAATTTGCTGAGCCCTTCTTGTATCATCAGCCCTGCACTGTGTAGCCTTGTGCTGTCCATGGGAATGGAACGGAGTGTGACAGAGGGAGGGCAGCAGGGAGATGTCCAAGGAAGGGTTTTATCACTGCTGTGTTTGTTGAAGAAAGGAGAAATTATAGCCGGTGTCAACGCTGGTGGAATGATCCAGTTGTGAAGGAGAAAATGGCAGGGGGAAGAACCGGGGGGTGATGCCCTGACCTAGTGCCCAAGGCGGGAGCTGGCCTTGATTCGGAGTGGGGAAAGTTTGTAGGTAAAGCACTGTGGGCATGTGTGTGCAAACATACTCCCATGCATACATAGGTCACACGCATGTAGTCAGAGATAGGTTGACAGGGCTCCCCTCTGATGGTTTCTTTTTCCCAGTCGTGAGCTGAGAGTGAGTGGTGGTGGGAAGGAGAAGGAGTGACTTGGGGTCAGAGGGTAAGGTATGGAGTAGTGTAAATGCACGGGGTAATACTTGATGGGATTTACCAAGCAAGGCTGAAGGTACACCTGAATTTGCAGCCTCGGTTAAAGTGACCATCTGTTGGCGGAGTTAGGTGTCTCTCACCCACTTGGATGGCCACCTGTCACAGTTTGCCTGCAGTGGGGAGGTTCCGGGATATAGAATCTAGAGAACTAGAACCGGAAATGTCCCAAGCAAACTAGGACATCCCCTTGCCTCCAGCTGTAGGTGTAGGGTAGTTAAAGAGTTGAATATATAAGAGTTGAGACAGGAAATCAAGACAAGGAGAGAGAGAAAGAGACAAAACCCCTGGGGTGTCTGTAGGATGGGATTAAACTGAGGGACCTAGAGTATAAGCTGGGTGAGGAGACATGCTATCATGGCAGGGGACAGCAAAAATAAGGTAAGACTGGTACATTAGATAATTATTGGAGGAGTGGATGCTGGAGAGATGATTCTAAAAGGGTAAGAGGTGGTGGTCGGGACGTGGGAGGCTGAAGCAGGAGCAAGATATGCGGTTTATGGGTTATGGCAAGGTACAGGGTGTGGCCATGGGAAAGGGCTTGAGGAGGGGTGGGTTTTTCCAGATCACAGGGAGGAAGTGGTGGAGAGACTGGATTAGATTTGGAATCATCAACAAACAGGACATGGGGTAGGGGAGAGAAGAAAAGCAAACTACATTCTAGAACCTTCCATTAGTGATGGGAGGGAATGGAGACAAGAGAAGATAATTGTGGTGAGCAGGGGCTGCAGGCCCTGTAACCTGATGCCCCACTTCTCAGAGAAGCTGAAGTTTTGGGGAAGAACCCCACCCTGGGCACGGAGGGATAAGCTGTTTGCTGTATGCCAGGCCCCAAGTCTTCCGGCAACAGGGGGACCCCTCTCTCCCCTTAGCGAGCAGCTGGGAAAGCAGTGTTCTCAGGGGAGAGCGGGGTTTCATCTGGACGTGTGAGGATGAAGGGAGTTTCAGGCACGAGGGTAACCGTTTCAAAGGCTTTCATGGCGGAGTCCCAGTTCCGCGGGTCACAGCAGAAGGGGCAGAGGGGTCTTGCGGAGGGCTCGGGGGAGGGGACGGCCGCTTCGCGCGTGACGCCGTCTGTGTGCACCCCCCCAGGAGAAGCAGGACAAGGCGGTGCTCCAGGCCGAAGTGCAGCACCTGCGCCAGGACAACCGGCGGCTGCAGGAGGAGTCGCAGACGGCCACCGCGCAGCTGCGCAAGTTCACCGAGTGGTTCTTCAACACCATCGACAAAAAGTCGTAACCCGGCCCTGGCCCGCCGGGGGTGGCGGTGGGGCTGGGGCCTCGGGGGGACGCCCCGCGCCCCCCGCCCCCCGCCCCCGGGAACTCTCCAACGCGTGGTTTCTCCGTGTGCTTGCCGCCAGTCCTACGTGTCTTTGCCGTCCCACCCCGTCCAGCACCATCCACCCCCGCAGGGTAGGGAGGCCCCTCGTTCCTGGAATCATGTGGGGACAGCGAGGCCGTGTGCGCGTGAATGTAACTCCCGGTGTCGAGATGAATGTAAACCCCGGCGTGGGTTGGGGCCTCTGAGTGGGACCCCAGGGTCCCGGCGCTCTGGCGCGGGCGTCCCTGGAGAGGGGAGAGAGCGGGGCTCCGCGTCCCGCGCATCGGGTGACCCGGTAGCCATGGTGAGAGCAACTGACCACAGTCGGGGCTTTAGTATTGTAAGATAAACCCGGAGACGGATAGTCAGACATATACTTTAATGTTAAAGGTGCTCTATTTTTTTGGATGTACAGTAGTTTTATTTCTCAGCCACATTATCATAGCAATAAGAACGAGACAGGAACTAGCTGGAGAAGCCGTGTGGGGAAAATTAAAACAAAACGAAACACTGATGTCTTTAACACTAGTTTGAATGCAGTTCATTTAGAGGCTTATTTATTTACAGGAGCAAACGGTGCCTGAATATTAAAAGTGTTCTGAGTTTAAAAAAAAAAAAAAAGATACATATGCCTTGTATATGGCTCAGTAAGCAGTCCTTCGACTCTTAGTTCACTGTGTATAGTTAACGCTCTGCTGAGAGTAGCGCACGCCTGCTTACGTCCTAGAACCTCCTAGAACCTCCCGTTGGCGGGGAGCCAGCAGAATCCCATGTATACAATGCCAAATTTGTTTATCTTTGTACAGAAGCTCTGAGGAAGTGTCTTGTATTTAACGCCCTTATTTAAGCTTATTTAACCTTAAATTGTTAATTTTATAAACTTTGGTTTGACCCGCACTACGACGAGGGAGGTGTAGGCAGCAGCAAGCTTTGGACAGCCGAGCTTGCCCCTAACAGAGCAGAGGCAGGGCGGGAGATTCTAACAACTGGATGCTGCTAGTAACAAGTCCTTTGTATTGCTTTACCATTTTTAACTGTTCTATTTGAGATGAACATACATTTTGCTTTTTTAATAAATGTTCAAAAGAGGCCACATCAGTCACGGTGTCATCAGGTGAATGTAGATCTGTAGTATCTCTGTGTCAGTGACCGGAGTGTATGAGAGTGCGTTTGGGGTCATTTAGCGTCTTAATCCTGACTCCTGCTTTGCCACCTTCTTACCAAATCGCAGACTCATTCGAAGGAAAGAATAACTCGTGTCCACACACTCCTCTCTGTGCGTTTCACCAGCGGGATTCCCCTGCTTACAACTCAGGAAACTGAGGCTCAAGTTAAATGATTTACCCCAGCCAGGAATTTGGGTGTTGCTTACAAGAAAATACAGAAGGCAAAAAGAATAAGAATTAGAAAAATAATCGTGAAGAGATAAACTATACATTTGAATCAAACATAGAACGAAGAAGACGTGGAAGGTGGGCCCAGGTGGGAAGGGAGCCCCATAAGGTACAAAGTTCTCAACCTTCCGAGAACAGAAGTTTTACCAAGAATTTGGAGGAAGGAAAGTGATTTCTAGGACTTACCCTACAAGGGATGTCCTTTGTGGGTGCACCTAACAGGTGTAGTAAAAATGTTCTTAACATTCCTCTGATGTACAAATGGGCTTCCTAAGGCTGTTTCTTGAGGTGTGCTTCCAAAATGCCTCTAGTGAAGGCAGTTTTTCAGGGAGTCAGGACATTGTGAACCAGAGAGAGTTCTTCTCCACCCCCTCCCTTCCCTGTCACTGTGTGCCAGGCACTGTGCCAGGAGCCCAAGAGCCAAGCAACAGGAGTTAAGACCCAGCGGGGTCCATCTGCCAGAGGTATGCAGTCTGTATGGGGGGACGGACATAAGATTATTTCAAAATGTGAGAGGCAGAGATACAGAGTGCCTAGGATGGATTCCTTCAATAATCATTATAACAGCTGACATTGTTTGGGTGGGTCCTATGTGCCAGGCACCGTTCTGGCCCTTTTGATGTCTGCACAGCAGCCTGTGGGATAATTATTAGATGTACTCCCTCTACACAGATCGGGGATTGAGACACAGTGTGCTCAGGGGAGACGCCTATGGGTGGGAGATTTCGAAGGTGGAAAGAAAGTCAGCCATGAGAAGCTGGGGGAAGAATATTCTGGATAGAGGGGCCACAGAGTTCAAGGGCCCTGAGGCTGTAGAAAGTCAGGATGCACAGAACGTAGGTAGTAATGCGGAAATGATAGGGACATGTTAGATAGGTAAAGCCAGATCAGCAAAGAATTACAAGCTATGGTAGAGTCTGGATTTTGTTCTAAGTCAAAAGGAGACTGTTAAAGCAGGAAAGTGCAAAATAAGATCTGTATTTTTTAAAAGACTATTAGGAAAATGGATGAATGAATGGAGTGGGTGACTATTTGGACCTCTGAAGGAGAAAGGACCACCTAGGACAGGTATCTGCAAACTTCTGTGTGGGGGCACATAGTAAATATTTAGTCTCTTTATATTTTAGTATTTTTAATATTTTTAAATTCTGGTTACCCTGGAAAGCTGGAAGATCATTCCACTCTTAGCTTTCAGGCCACCCACCAGCATAGCTGACTGACCCTTGGGATAAGAGAAAGAGTAGAAAAGAGAGACCAGGGGCCTCTCGGTGGTTCAGTTGGTTGAATGACCAATTGTTGGTTTCACCTCGGGTCATGATCTCGGGGTCGCAAGATCGAGCCCCATGTTGGGCTCCACCGCCATGGCCAGTCTCCTGGACATTCTCTCCCTGTGCCCATACCCCTGTGCTCACTCACTCTCTCCCTTTCTCTCCAAACTAATGAAAATTTAAAAAAAAAAATGTGAGATCAGTTCCAGGGAGAGGTGGGCAATCACAGCTACAGTGAGGTGGGACAGGTGGAGGAAAATAAGTGGGTCACACTCGAAAGATAGACCCCACGGAACTGCTGATGGGTTGGAGACAGAAGGGAAAGTTTTGATTCAGGGATAAGCCCTAAACATCAGAAGAAAGGATGGGCACCATGTTCATCAGAGAGTTTTCCATAGATCTGGCCAACCTTCAATAAAAGCTTACCAACAGGTGGTCCTTGGCAAGGGCCTGAGAGCATCACTGACCAGCAGTGGATGCGTGCGCTATAGAGGGCATGAAGCAGACAGAAATGTTGATGTTTAGAGAAAAGAGGAACCTGACCAAAACCTAGCTGAATGGAGAACCATCCCACCTTTCTACCATGTACCTGCAGACAAAACCAGAAGGTATTTTTTGAAGACATACTTCTCAGTCTACACTGGCAAAAGATTAAATCATCTCTCAAGTCCACCCCTAAAGGGTCGTGCCAAAGAATGGCCAGAATGATGTTGGTTCAAGTTTTTCCAAAGGCGTGCTTCCAGTCAACAGCCAGGCCATAGAAAAATCTCCTCACACACCTCTAGTACATGTGTTTTTGTGCAACTTGGCATCCTAGTGAACACTGTTGGTTACAAAATGTACCCTTCACCAACGAAACACTTTGACTTTCTGGAACGTTCACCGAGTACAAACTAATTAAACATTGGAATATATCCACTAGAATTATTTTTTACTTTGGAATAATTAATATCCAGCAGGTTTTTTTCCAACCATATGGAGTAATCTATTGTGTATTAAGGCCAGTCAACTATGTGACAGAGTTAATTTGTATTTTAGAGGCTTCCATCCTGCTATTCGTATCAAGGAGCAGGTTCATCATTAAAAATACAAGTTGAATTTGGGAGGGGTATAATCCCAGGCCTGCTTTTGCTGACCTCACAATTCTCCTTTGAAATGCCAGGAGTCTTGTTGTTCTGCTAGCCCATTAAAATGCAGAAATTGATTATCTATCAATAGCCAAAGCCTTCATCAAACTCAGAGCCATAAAACTATGGCTTCCTATCTATAGATTCAAAGAGATTATCTATAAAAAGACACTAAGAATAATACTCTTGATGACTTCTTCATGAAGAGCTATAACTGGCTAATATTGGAATATGGGGATATTAAAATGACTTGTTCCTGGTATAAAAATATGACCCTGAAAAACCTGGAATTGTGGTTTAGAGTGAGTGCTGACATCAAATTTAGACTGACCAGCCATGAATTCCCTAGTTTTGGAGAAACTGTGGACATAGACCTTTGTAGAGTCAACCCAACTTTTGTTCCCAACCAGATGGAGGGCATGTCACTACAAACAAGCTGCCATCTTTACAGCTGCCATCCTCACCACTGGAGTCATCATGAAATATTTTGGAGCAAAACTTGTAAGAGGCAAGTTCCAGCTTCTGGAGATTATGAGATAATCTCAGATCTGCTGAGGTCAAGCCAATGTATGTCCTTGAGAATTTCCAAGTTGGGGATGGGGGAGGAACCAAAGGAAGTGATACAGATTTTTACATTTGCACCTTGGAATTATTGTCAAGGGTAAGCTGCAGGTTGCTTGAGTGCTTGTGGATTTGGGGCTTAAAAACTTAAAACCACTCCCCTAGATCTAGTGTTCAGGTGTGCTACTCAGTAGTGGAAAAGAAAGTTAATAGAGTTGACTGGGTTTCATTCAACACCTGCTTAGAGGCAGGTGGGAGGTAAATGTGTTTGTTTATGCTCCACGGGATGGAAAATGGCAAGAAATCTGCCCAAATCCAAGGCATGGGTTGGGTTTCTGACCTGTGACCTCCAAATTAACCCAAAGACCAAGCTTCCTGGCTTCTCAACAATGGGAATTAGGCAAAAGCTTAAGCACAAAGAAAAGTCTTTTTATGAATTTTAAAAAAGGCTCAAATCATCACCCCCAAAGATGACATCCTTGCATTTTTAACATGGAAGATTTGGGGGTAAAAATAAAAAATACTTGGGAGTAAAAATAAAAAAATAAAAATAAAAAAACAAAAAAATCCTTTAAGCCCTTCCAGTTTATCTTAATATCCGAAAAGGCACTGCCCTCTTAAATCCTTACACT